TCTCAGGCCACGCCCCCCTCGCCGTCCTTCATCGCCCCGGTTCAGCCCGTGACGTCAGCCCGCACGTTCCTTGGCGTTTAACGCGTTCGCCCCCTTCTCCGCAAGCCGCGGTCGGAAGCGAGAGAAGTGGGGAAGAGGGCTGGGCGGCAGGCCGGCCAGCGGGGGCCCGCGGGGACCGGGGAGGTTACCCCGGAGAATGGAGGGGCTGAGAAGGGGGAGTAGAGAGGAAGGGGGACTTGGTAGGCGACGCGACCGCTGATTGGGCCATTTGAATGAGACCCCGCCACGGCCCGGCGTACGTGCGCGCGCCCTGACGCCGAGGCCTTCGCGCACGCGACTAACGGTCGGCTTCGGGGCCGGGGCAGGGCGTGGGGAGGTGGGACTCGGGAGTTTTAAATACGTGATGGAAGGCGCTCGAGCCAATAGGGACGTACCATCGCGATCCCTGACGGAAAAGGGTGCTCGAGGGGAGGGGGGGTTGGATAGGAACCAATGGCAACTCAGTTTAGTGCGGACCTAGCCGCTCCCAGCCAATCGGAGTACGCTGACTTTTGGGTATGTAAGTGAGGTGTGCGCTGCCGCCCGCGCCCCCTCCCCTCGGCCGCTGCGGGGTGGGCGCTGAAGTCCGTCTTCGTTTCTCCACGAGCCGCCATTTTGTGCTGCGAGTGACCTGTGACCCGAGGCCCGGGGGCGAAATGGCTTTGAAGGCCGGCCCGCCTGGCCCGCACGTGCGTGGCCCCGGCCCCTGCCGGGCTTCGTCGGAGGCGCCGGACCTCAGTTTCCTCATGTGGCAGATGGGCCCAGGGAGAGGAGGTTGGGGACAGGAGCGGCTGCTCACGCCTGTAGCCCCAGCACTCGCGAGGCCGAGGAGGGAGGATGGGCTGAGGCCACGAGATCGAGACCAGCCTGGGCAACATAGCGAGGCCTCTGTCTCTACCAAAAATAAGTTTTTAAAAAGCAGCCAAATTCATGACAAGGATGATGGTGGCCCACTACTGTAATCCCAGCACTTGGGAGGCCGAGCAGGGAGGACAGCCTGAGGCCAGGAGTTCGAGACCAACCTGGGCAACATAGCAAGACCCCTGTCTCTACCCAAAAAACCAAACAACAGACAAAAAGAATAGCGAGGATGATGGCAGCTCACGCCTGTAGTCCCAGCACTCGGGAGGCCGAGGAGGGAGGATGGGCTGAGACCAGGAGTTTGAGACCAGCCTGGGCAATATAGCGAGGCTGCCGTCTCTACCAAAAAATGTTTAAAAAGCAGCCAAAGGCATAACAAGGATGATGGTGGTTCACACCTATAATCCCAGCACTTGGGAGGCCAAGGAGGGAGGATGGCCTGAGGCCAAGAGATTGGGACCAGCCTGGGCACCCCCCCACCCTGTCTCTACCAAATAAAAACCCCCAACCAAATAGCCAAAAGGCAAAACAAGGATGATGGTGGTTCACACCTGTAGTACCAGCACCTGGGGAGGCCGAGGAGGGAGGATGGGCTGAGGTCAGGAGTTTGAGACCAGCCTGGGCAACATAGTAGGTCTCTGCATCTACCAAAAAAAAAAAAAATGCAGCCAAAAGGCATAATGATGATGACAATGACTCACACCAGTAATCCCAGCACATTGGGGGACCAAGGCAGGAGGATCAGTTGAGGACAGGAGTTCGAGACCACCCTGGGCAACATAGCGAGGCTTCTGTCTCTACCCAAAAAAAAATTTTTTTTTTTTAAAGCAGCCAAGCCGGGCTCGGTGGCTCAGCCTGTAATCCCGTGCCTTTGGGAGGCTGAGGTGAGTGGATTGCCTGAGCTCGCGGGTTCGAGACCCGCCTGGGCAACTTGGCGAGACCTCGTCTCTACAATAAATCAAAAAAATTAGCCAGGCGTGGTAGCACACCTGTAGTTCCAGCTACTTGGAAGGATCGCTGGAGCCCAGCAGGTCGAGGCTGCGGTGGCCAGGAGCGGCCACTGCACTCCAGTCTGGGTGACAGAATGAGACTCCAACTCAAAAAAAAAAAAAAAAGCAGCCAGAGGCATAACAAGGATGATGGTGGCTCACACCTGTAATCCCAGCACTTGGAAGGCCGAGGAGGGAGGATGGCCAGGAGATTGGGACCAGCTTGGGCAACATAGCAAGACCCCTGTCTCTACCAAAAATAACCCCAGCCAAAAGGCAAGAACAGCCTGGGCAACATAGCAAGACCTCATCTCTACAGATATGAAAAATCTAGCCACGTGGGCTGCAGTGAGCCGTGATGTCACCACTGCACTCCAGCCTGGGTGACAGAGTGCAACCTTGACTCAAAAATAAAAAACGAAAAAAATGATGATGGTATAAATGGTGGCTGGTGTGCCATGTGCTGGCCCCTCTTCTCACTTCCTTCCAGGCTTCATCTCACTTATTCTCACACCAGCCCCTATAGGTGGACACCTGCATTCATTCAGTCTCTCTCTTTTTTTTTTTTTTTTTTGAGTCTCCCTCTCCATCTGGATTGCAGGGACACACTCATGGTGTGCTTGGACACACTCTTGGCTGTTTTTTAAAAAAAAAATTTTTTTTTGGTAGAGACAGAAGCCTCGCTATGTTGCCCAGGGTGGTCTCGAACTCCTGCCCTCAACTGATCCTCCTGCCTTGGTCCCCCAGTGTGCTGGGATTACTGGTGTGAGACATGCAGGGACACACTGATCCAATCTCCATCTGGATTGCAGGGACACACTCATGGTCACTGCAGCCTCGACCTGTTTGGTTCAGACAATCCTTCCGCCTCAGCCTTCCAAGGAGCTGGAACTACAAGCATGCACCAACATGCCTGGCTAATTTTTTTTTAATTGTAGAGTGAGAGTCCGACTCAAAACAGGGAAGAAATGTCAAAGAAGAGAAATGTCAGAGTGACTCACTCAAGTAAAAGCAGATGATTCTGAAATTCGTTCTGGGTCCCCTGCCTGTGTGAGTGGCTGAGTGGGCTGGTTGCCTCATCAACTGCATTTCTTGCTGTGGGCTGTGGTCAAAAAAGTAAATTAAAAAAATACTGTGCTTCACATCATATATAAAAAATCAAAATGCAGTCGGGCACAGTGGCTTATGCCTATAATTCCAATACTCTGGGAGGTTGAGGTGAGTGGATTGCCTGAGCCTCCAGGTTCAAGACCAGCCTGGGAAACTTGGGAAGACCTCATCTCTACAATAAATCAAAAAATTAGCTGAGTGTGGTAGTGCGCACCTGTAGTTCCAGCTACTTGGAAGGCTGAGGCAGAAGGATTGCCTGAGCCCAGCAGGTCGAGAATGTGGTGGCCCTGAGCGTGCCCCTGCACTCCAGCCTGGGCAACAGAGTGAGACTCTGACTCAACAAACAAAAAATGGACAAAGGACTTAAATAGGCATTTGTCTTTTGTTTTTTGCTGCTATAACAGAATACCACAGACTGGGCAATTGTTAAAGAACAGATGTTCATTTGGCGGATGGTTCTGGAGGTGGGGAGGTCCCAGTGTATGGCACTGGCATCTGGTGAGGGTCTTAGTGCTGACAGAAGGGCAGGTGAATGCAAGGGGTGGAGGATGGGGCCACAAAATCATCTTTTTTTTTTTTTGAGTCAGAGTCTCACTCTGTTGCCCAGGCTGCAGTGCCGTGGCACCCCCACAGCCACTCCAGTGTCAACCTCCTGGCTCTGGCGATCTTTCAGCCTCAGCCTTCCAAGTAGCCGGAATTACAGGCACGTGCTACCATGCCTGGCTGAATTTTTATTTTATTGTACAGATGAGGTGTCACCAAGCTGTCTGGGTGGGTCTTGAACCCACGAGCTCGGGCAATCCACTCACCTTGGCCTCCCAAAGTGCTGGGATGACAGGCTGAGCCACCGAGCCCGGCCACCGTGTATCTTTTCATCAGGATCCCATTCCTGAGATAACTAACTTATGCCCAGCACCTGCGCTTCCTAATACTGTTACATTTTTCAGTTAAATTCCAACATGAGTTTTGGAGGAGGCATTCAAACCATAGCAACATGTCTCCATAGGGGACATACAAATGACTGAGAAGCAGGTGCCAAGATACTCAGCGCCGTTAGTCATCAGGGAAGCGCACTTCAGAAACCACAGTGAGAAGCCACTTGACTCCCAGTGGGATGGCTGTAATCAAAGACAGTAACAAGTGTTGGCGAGAATTTAGAACAGGTTGAATACCACATACACTGTGGGTAGGGATGGAACGTGGACGGCTGCCGTGGAAACAGTCTGGCAGTTCCTCAAAAGACGAAACACAATGTCACCGTGACCCAGTCATTCTACCCTAAATATCTACCCCAGAGACGTGGAAACAAATGTCTAAGCAAGAAGTTGAACACAGATGATTTTTTTCTTTTCTTTTCTTTTTTGAGTCAGAGTCTCACTCTGTCACTCAGGCTGCAGGGCAGGGGCATAATCACGGCTCACCACAGCCTCAATCTCTTGGGCTCCAGCGATCCTTCTGCCTCAGCCTTCCAAATAGCCGGAACTACAGGTGCGCACTACCACACCTGGCTAATTTTTGATGTAGTGTAGAGATGAGGTCTTGCCAAGTTGCCCCAGTGGGTCTCGAACCCGCAGGCTCAGGCAATCCACTCGCCTTGGCCTCCCAAAGTGCTGGGATTACAGGCTGAGCCATCGAGCCCGGCCACACTTTTTTTTTTTT